TGATCTGAGAACCATGCCCACCATCCACTGCAGGTGACCTTGAGGTGACAATTGACTTCAGGACGTGTGTTTCAGTGTGGGCAATACCTTGATGTTTCCTTTGATGCTCCGGTATACTCGTGATTTGGCATGAATGGTCAGTTGTTCAAGCTAAACAATGCCAGGGTCCATAAGGGAGGAGACAGCTCGGTGCAGAATTTGACCTGTTGTTTTCTTTTCCTAAATTTTTTGGTGTTTTGCTCCACCAAATCTCCCTTTGGCCTAGCTATCCGACTGTGGCTCGAGCTTGCTGTAGTATTTTCTTGCAGCTTGGTGCTGTCTCAACCTTTTGTTGTGCTCGAGTTCACAGGAAAGATCTCCATCAGTATTCTGCTTGATTCAGAGCTCAGGTACTTTAGTGCATCCACTTCACTCCACTGGTTTGCTTTCTGTGAGTGCACAACATGGAGGAAAGGAAAAGAACTTCCCAGAAAGAAACTTTCTTTTCAAAGTGCACACCCTACATCCACCTGATTTTGGGGGGGACAAAAGAGATTTTGGCTGCTGTACCCATCTCATACGGTGCCTGCAGCCTGTGGGGATAAAGGCTGTGTTGGAAAGTGAATTTTGGGAGGTGGTGGATGAGCGCTGCATTGGAAGGGCTTTTAGAACAACAGGTCAACAAGGGGTTGAAGAGCAGCTTCCCCTGTTGTCCATCCTGATGCTGAAGAGATCCTCCATGCACTTCACCTTGTACCAGTGGGTGCTGCAAGTGGAATGGCTAAAATTCCTCTCCTGGGAGAGAGGAAGAGTCAAGTTGAAGTTTGTGTTTTGTTGCTGTTGCACCAGTTCAAACCTAGCACTTTCCCCTGGCCGGGGGTCCCTGCGTAGGGTCCGAACTCGGAGGATGCGTTGGCTCGGATCAGCCTCTGGAAGTGGAGGAGCAAAGCAGCTGGACTCGTGTTCAGAGGTTTCACTCTCCCTCTTGCCTTCCCCCACGTGTCCCTCGTAGGCATCGCGTGCTGCTGCTTCACGTAGGCCCCGTTTTCTACTGCAGAGCAGATTCCCCTGCCTGCTCAGTGAAATCCTCCTTTTTCTCTCTCTCGTTTCGCTTTCCTGTGTCTTCCCCGCTCCAAGTTCAAGACTTTCCCAATTTCCTGGTTACAAGCAGCTGCTCAGCAGTTTTTGGAGCTGTGCAGCGAGGGCTCTAGTTACACGTGAACTCCTGACCTTCATTTTGAAATGCTCCCTTTATCCCCACGTGCACTTTCTTTCCCAGGATGCTTTTTCCCACATCACCGAGCTCCTTTGGTATTCTTGGAGTTGTGTATTTCTCTTCACGTTTTACCTGGATTGTGGGGTGGGATCATTGGGGAGGGGACAAAGTATTATTATTATTATCTCATAGTCTTCAGGTTTAGGATGTGGGGATTGTTCAGAGGGGATTAGTTCCTTACCCAAAGCAAGGATTAAAACGGGAGGATTTAAAACAAGTTACTAATTTGTGCCTCATACCCCTGCCAAAAATAGCAATTTCTTGGCCCCGTTGAGGTGAGCAATAGGGAAGGGAGTGAGATTTTCCATAGGTAGCATAGCTTTTTCCATAGATCCATGGTATCTGTAAACTAAACAGCAGGGAGATAGTGGCAGTATAACATAAAATGATGCTTTTATAAGCTAGAGCTTTACTGAAGATGTATTTTCCGTTTGGGCAGCGAAAATAATTTGCTGCCTGATAGCAGAACCCTTAAGCCAACACTTCTGTATGATATATACATACCTACCAATAGGAAAAGTTGTGGTTAATAAGATATTTTGTTATAAAGCAAAGTTTTATGAAGATATGGTTGTTTAATATTAGAAGCCTATTTCAGCCCTTGACCTCCAGTGTAAGTAGGTTTTCCCTGAGTGGCTGCAGAGTCCGAGGCAAGCGACCTATGGGGATGCAAAAGTATCTCTGACCCAATTTTCCAGAGCAGTAATTGCCTCTGTGGGTGTATTTATGGCATTGCACCTGCCATTAGTGAGATGCTGTAACTCTTGACCAACTTCCTCAGCACAATTAAGTGTCTGGGTTTCAGAGAAGGGAATAAACAAAGGCCATTAAATGTGGAATGGGATGATAAAGAAAGGCCAAGTACGTGCTTTTAAGTTTGTTTGCCCACTAAAAATTGGGCTGTCCATGGAGGGATCGGTGCTGTCACCAGCTCAGAACTGGCAGTAAATGCTGCTTTTTTTTGTGACAGACCTGGCGGGAACTGGAAGATGGAAAAAGAGAACACAGAAAGTTAAAAAGTGCTGGGGATTTGGTGCTGACACCCAAACCTGCTCCCCTGGTCCATTCAGGGTATGAAATCACCACCCTACCACTTCTCCAGGGGAAGGTTTTTCTCAAGGCATTCACCTTGTGTGCAGATGGTGGAGCAGGTGTGGGGTAGAAACCAAAAGTCTCGGTTGGCTTCCCAAGGAGAAGGACTCAACCCAAAAGCCAGAGAGAGTTTGTGTGTGCAGATGATCAGCTGTGGGAAGTGGGACCAAACAGCACACAGGGATGTGGCAAAATACCCCAAATCATGATACCTTGTGGGGTAGGGTCCTGTGTGTGTGCCACCCAACATGCCTTGGGGAGAGAGGAGAAGGTTTTGAGTGGGAGAGGAGGTTTGGGTGCAGATGTGGCAGGAGGTTTGATTTAAACCTCTGCCATGTCAGGAGGGGCCATGTCCAGGCATTGCCAGCGTGTGCCCTCTTCAGCTAAAGGTCCCTGGGTCTGTCACATCCGCTGAGAAAACAAAATAGATGTGCAAGCTTCCCTGGCTTGTGTGTCCTTCTGTCTGAGGGCATTTTGTTGTGTTGTTCCTGCTGGTTTTTGCATCAAAGTCTGCCACGGGCAGCCCGTGCAGAGCACCTGGGTGACAGCTGTATACCAAAGTGTCACACGGCTCCGTGTGCCGAGTCCCACGCCGCGCCGTGCGTTTTTGGAGATGTTCCTGTTCAATATCCGTGTTCTTGGCCAGATGTTCCAGGCAGATTGCTGTTACGAATATGCACAGGGTGCTGGCTGTCCTCTGCTCGCTGGCTGGGGTTTGTAACCTCGTTTTTTGGGAGCTGCAGGCGTGCTGGTGGCAGGTGTGACCCGTGGCTCCCTGTGGCCTCTCCTCCTCGGGGCTGGAATCCGACGGAGGCGCCGCAGCGGCTCTGCCTCCTCGCTTGCCAGTGAGATTCTGTAGGTTCTGTTCCTGTGCAAGATTTGAGAATGCAAACGAGGTGCTTAAAGCAGCCCAGAGGCTAAAATTTGTATTCCTGGCAGCTGAGCCTCCCTCGTTTGGATGTGGCACTTTTTAGGCAGCAGAGAGACGCCTTCCCCAGAGCAACGTTAGAGGGGTTCAGCCCTCTCGGGCCTTTCCCTCTGTGATTGCTTTTCTGCAGTTCCTGGAAACTTCAACTATAATTTATACATTAAGATCTATTCTTGCTCCCTGTTAATGTTGCATCCATATGTAATTTCGAAGAAGAAGAACTGTAAGTCCATCTGGTTTTTTATTCTTGTTTCTCTCCCAGGGGATACACCTCCCGCTCCCACAATTTGCCTTTGGTTTGCTCGCAGACTTTAGTGGTGGAATTCAGGCCAAAAAAGGTCATTGGTTTGGATCAGTTCAATAAACTTATGTAAGTTTTTACACTAAAACCCCCAGTGTCCTGAGCTTTGCACTTTTGTGTCCCATGAAAATATGTTCCTTGTTAGCACCCCAAAGGTGTGAGTGAAAATTGCTGGGATTTTTATTTTGTCCTGTTGATGGTTTTGTTCTGTCCATGAGCTTGGGCACAGCCTCACCTGTGCAAGGAGAGAAGTCACTTCCAGGAGAGCTGGAGATCTGTTCATCCTCTGGACTGTAGGACTGGGACTCATCCCCACTTCCAGATGAGGAATAAAGCTGGAGCACTCTCTCTCCTCAGAGGGACTGGCCTTGGGGTTAAAAGAAATTTCACCCTCATGGCCTGCACCAAATGACCCTGGGGGAAGCAGGAGGAGAGAGATGCTCCTCTGGATGGGAAAGAGCTCCTGGGCAAATCCACTGCCAGGGCATCTTCCATGGGCTGGGCCAGGTCCTTGAGATGGGAACGAGCCAAGGCACTGCCTGTGGCTGCTGTGCCAAGGCCAGGCAGCCACAGAAGCCCTTGTGGCACCTTTGAATGCTTGTTTTTCCTTGAGTTAAGGCATGGGAGGAAGTTTTCCGCTAGAATTATTAAGAAGTGTTTGGTTATTCAGTGCTGCATGATGGGAACATCCCTGCCAAAAGAAGAGAGGCTGGAAGACAAAATCTTCCCCAAAGAGTCAGTGAGACCTAATCAAACTTCATCAGTGTTCACTTGCCCAGGACAAACAGGACCAGAATATTAAACTGACAAAGGAGCAGAGGGAAACCTGTTTCCACCAGTTTTCTCTCTGTTACAAAACAGAATGAGGAGAATCAATTGATTTCCTGGAGCTGGTTGTGTTTAAAATGTATGGGAGGGAAGGGAAGAGCTGGGATACAGGCTGGAAGTAATCTGCCCCTGGAATATCAGTCAGTGCTGATATTCTGCCCTCCTAAAATAGCTGTTGGCATAGAAAAAGGTAAAAATAAATTTAAAAATGAAAGATTGCTGCTAGCAAGGCCATGCTTGGAGGATGGAGGGAAGGTAAATTCTGAGATTTGCTGTGGAGGCAGTGAGCTGCCTGGTGCCCTGATGTGCTAGGAGGTAGGAGACAGCTTTTTGGGGGAAACTTGCTGAACACACTGCCAGGAGCACCCAGATGAAAAAAGTCAGGGTTTCTTGTTGGGCTGCTGGCATTCCTGTCTCCTCTCTGTTCCTGACAAAGGGTGGGGAGGACAAGAGGAATTAAGACCTCCTAGCAGGGAAAACAGGGAATAAAAGCCCCCCACCCCAAATGTCAGAGGGGAAAATGAGCCAAGCTCTGGCTGTTTTCCCACTGCTGGGGTTGGAGCAGTGCCTGTCTGACCTGAGCCTTGCTGCAGGCTGAAAAATCAGCTTTAATGTAGCGCTGCAGATGGATCCTTCACCCGCTGGCTGCTGTTCCAACGTGGATATGAACCAACTCAAAGCAGTTGAAATCTTTTCTGGGGTACAGATTGGACTGAAATGTGGAGCTGTGGCCAGCCCAGGTGCCAGAGGCAGGGAAAATCCCTGTGGAAATTGCAGCTGTAGGAGTGAAAATGATAATAATGCCAGTGAAGCTGCCCACCAGCACCAGCGAGGGTGGAAATGGGAACAGGCAAGGAAACCTTCTGTGGGCTGGACTGGATGAGCTTTTCCTTTTTCACCTGTAAAAAAAGCAGGACTTAGATGGCAAAGCAACTCCATGGAAACTTCAGGGCAGGGCCTTTGAACGGCGCTTTAAGCCTAGCACTGTTTAATGCTAATCCTGTAACTTTATATAGATGGGTGGTTTTTTTTCCCCCTTTACACAAAGGGGAAGGGGCTCAGTTCTTCTGAGGGTTGGGTTTTCTGTTCCCTGAGCAGCAGAGCTGCGAGCCCAGCTCTGTCTCTCTGGCATTTCCATCTGAATCCACCTGAAGGGGGTGAGCTTTTGGGGAAGAAAGAGGCTTCTCTCCCTCTCCAGGCCAGAATTTGATCTCCAGATTAGCCTGCTGGTTATCAACAGAGGAACAACAGTTGTGATTGCAACTCAACACTGCTTCAGCCCTGGAAGAGCATTGAGGAAAACGGAGTTTTCAACTGGGAGAGCAAAGGACTGAGCCATCGTTTCAGTCATCAGCAATAATTGGCATGGCAGGACGGGCATGCATTCTCCACTGACATAGGATTTCACCCTGCCCTACCAAGACTGGTCTAAAATTTCAGACTTGATTGCTCCTCTAGCCTACAAACAGGTTGGTAATTTTTTTTTTTCCATAGCTAAAAAATTGTAATTTTGGATGGGATGTGTTCAGTAGCGTGTTCTTTGCTGTCTGTCCTGCTTTGCTCTTATCCTCGCCCTGCCACAGTCCCCGCTGGTCACTCTCTGCTAACGAGACTCTGATTTACAATCTGTACAAAATTCTGCCACTCTCACCTTCCCAAGACAGGGAGTGTGCTAAAACTTTTCCTTGGTGGGATGAACTTTTCCCCATGGAGTTGATGTGACCAAAGAACTTTCCTTCTGCTGTGTTCCAAACTCTCCGAGTAACGGGAGTGCTGTGGGATAAATGATGGGATGTTCCCCTGTAACCCTGTGCTCTGTGGCATTAGAAGCAGCTGGATCTGTAGATCCACATTTTCCATAAAAACAGATCCATGGGGAGAACACAAAGAGACACTGGGCTTTTCAGGAGATTTTTAAAAATCCCAGATTTTCCTGGGAGCTCTCCCTGAGCCCTGCCCGTGCGGAACGAGCGCGATCGACGGGCGAAGAAATCAAAGCAGGTGTTTTAGCAATATTTTCTATTGGATTCATAATGAGTAACAAATTGCATTAGGCACAGAAGGAATTGGAGCTGGCACAGGATTTCGCTTTCTTTTGGGTCTGCACTCTCTGTGTCTCCCATTGATTCCTGCACAAGGAGCTGCCCAGCTGTGTAAATGTTGGTGCTCCTTCCACGCTCATCCAGCCCCAGTGACGGTGCTGGTGGCAGCCAGGACAGAGGATTAACTCAAGGTGAAGCCCTGGACCATGAGAACTCATCCCAGCTCTGCTGCCTGGAGCAGAGCTGCTCCCCCTGGGATCAGCCAGGAGTGGCCATCCCTGCTCTAAGCAGATCAGGAATTGCTCAGAATAAGGAGCACACAGAGAGCCGTGGCTGTTCACAGCTCCCAAACATGAAATGAGCTCTTCCAGGTGTTTCTGGGCTTCCTTAGGCAGTGATTTGCTGTCATCACCAGGTGTTTCAGGGCTGCCTGGCAGGTGAGGGACCTCACCTGAAGCTCTGAAACATCCACGGGTCAGCAGCAGTCAGGCAGCTTCGGGAATCCCCTCAAGGATGAGTTTTCCTACCAATGTGATGCATGGCTGGATTTGTCTCCTTCCTGTAGGATGAACAGGAGATCATTTCTGGGAGCCTGGGTGGCCCTTTTGGTGATAACAGCACAGCAGCAAGGTGAGTATCTCCCAGCAGGAAAATATTGCCCAGCTGGGCTGTGCTCAGAGACCCCAGAGGGCTTGGGAAACACCTCAGGGGGCTTGGGAAACAGCTCAGAGGGTTTGGGAAACACCTCAGGGGGCTTGGAAAACACCCCAGAGGGTTTGGGAAACACCTCAGAGGGTTTGGGAAACACCTCAGGGGGCTTGGGAAACACCTCCAGCTCCCTGGCTGGAGCAAGGACAAGAACCAGAGTGACCTGAGTGTATCCCATGGGGAGGGAGGGACTGAGAATCCTGAGGGTTGCTTGTGTTTATCATTTGTATGGCTGTGTGTGCACCTGGAGCATTCCAGAGGAAGCAGGAGTTTGGAAAATTTCTGTGTTAGGGCTGCTGAGCAGGTATGGCAGTGTGGCACTAGTAGAGCTGAATAAGAATTGAGGAATGTCTGCTGAGCCTCCTGTTTAAAAATGGAATAAAATCCATATCTTGTAGCTGTGCCTTGGCTGTGATAACTCATCAGGTGTGTAACAGCTGTGAAATTATTTATTTTACTGCCTGGCAGGAGGAATTTTTCTGTGGCCTTTTGGATCTATCTGTGAAAACTCAGCTATCACTTGGACACCATCAATGCCACCTCCCCTATGTCCAACAGGGCACTTAGGGCACACCAGTGTCTTAGGAAATCAGGATGCCAATGGGTTAGGCCAGATTTCCCCTTTTGCCAGGGAAATTTGGAGCCTGGGAAGGGTCAATCAGTGCTCAGCATGGAGCATCCTCAGAGTTGGGCATCAAGGAGAGCCCCCTGTGAGTCCATGGGAATACAGAGCAGCCTGGAGGCCCCCCAAGAACTCCGGGTCCTGGAAAGGAAAGCGTGTCCTGAATCCAGGTGAACAGAGCTGGGATTGTTCCAAGCCCTGTCATTGAATGTCGTGAGGCTTTCCTGCATCAAAGAGGGGAGAAGGGGGAGGCAAACCCAGAAAAATCTGTGAGGAGCGGGACATGAAATGACAGCAGAAGTCTGGCTGGGACGAGAAGGGAAGTGTGCCCTGAGGCCCGACGTAGCTGCTTGTGCCTCAAGCTGATGGATTTTAGGCTGGTAAAAAAGCAGCAGGCTGAAATGTGTCAAAACCATCTTCTGAAGTACTTTTGGGAGAGACAATTATGCTGGCTGGCAGTGCCTTTTAGCACTGAATTTTGCTGGGAAATGTCGGAGCAGCCGTGACCCCTCGGGGCCTGGAGCCCTGGCAGGGCAGGAGCAGGCAGGAGGAAGGGGGGCACTGCCAGGAACGTGGCTCTGGGGGTGGAAATGCTGCTGCTTGCTCCCCTTGAGCACCTCACCCTGAGGAACAGCCAGTCCTGCCCATCCTGGAGCCAGGCATGGACCTGCTGTCCTCCTGTGAAGCCAAGACTCAGGCGTTTGACTTGATCACAGTCCCAGGGGAGGAAAAACTGCAGCTTGTGGTCACTCTGCTGTGTCCTGACGAAGCTGGATCATGCTTTTCCTCCTGAGCCTGTCCTAAAGCCAGGCCCACAGCCAGCAGCTCTGCCCTGGCTGATGTTGGGGTTTGGGGCTGTTTTCTGTGGCCTCTCTGAAACCAGGACTGCCACGACCCTCAGGACTCTTCTCCCTCTCCTTCCAGCTCACACCATGGCAAGCCTGTATCCATACTGGCAGAACGACACCAAAACCCCCAAAGTCGATGATGGCAGCTCCCCTGAAATCAAGATCTCTGTGCCATTCATCTTTTTTGGAGCCCCATACAGAAGCATTTATGTAAGTGGAGAAAGCAGACCTTCCCTTCATCATTTTCCTTGCCATTATTGGCTGCATTTTAAACACGCTCTGCCTGTCATCAGGAATTGGAAGATTTATTAGCAGCTACCTGACAAGTTCTTAGATTTCATGAACTGATAGGTTTTATGATTAAGAAAGTCAAAGGTATATTTAATGGGATAATGTTCATAGGAAAGGAATCTAAAAGGCAATAAATTTTCTTTGTGGGTGATTAAATGGCACAGCAAAGCGAAGGGCTTGACACAAGGGACATTATTCCTGCTCCATGACAAGAAACAAGAACATGCAGGACCTGCAGCGGGGAAAGGGGCAGCAGTTTTGTGGGGGGCCCAGACAAGGACAGGCTGCTGCTGCTCCCAGGCGAGGGCAAAGCAAAAGCCTGGCTAAGGGGACACCAGGGCTGGGCTGAGAGGGGTCACCTGGGCTCACCTAAACCTTAGCCAGGGCCTCAGTCAGTGTGCCTGTGCCACATCCCAAGTTTTGTGGCCCCTGTGGGATCAGAAGAGAGGCCAAGACTCCTTCATTCTCCAGGTGCTGTTTGTGCACAGCAGCTCTGGGAAAGCAGAATCCCATTCCAAACCCTTGTGTGGGTGGGGGATTCCAGCATCCAGGGCAGCAGTGCCATTTGTGGTCTGTGCTGTGTAAAAATGTTGTTTTGGGGAGCATCCTCAGCAGACTCTGGGGAGGCTGGGGTGGCACCTCCCTGCTCTTGGAGAGCCCCAGGATCTGTCACAGGTGACAAATCCAAAGGCAGATTTTTCCTGTGCCACCATCATCCACATCCTTCAGTGCTGCAGAGCTGCTCTCCAAAGGCTGAGCCATCCCAGAAGAGTCTCAGCAGATTTGGGTGCCATCCTGCTCTGATGGCTGCCTCCCCTGGAGAACCCTATTTTGACAAATTTTCAGGATTTTGAGGCTTCCTGCACCAAGTCTTGCCCACCATGAGTAGGACGAAGCTGAATCATGCTCGGGCTGCTCACCCTCTGCCTGTGCATAAACCCAAACCCTCTCTCCCCACATTTTCTGCCAAACCAGCCTCTCTGTGCTGACTTATTCAACTAAATCACCTTTGCTCAGACACCGTGGGGGTCTCCACACAGGTTGTTATGTATAATAAAGATAATTCATGCCGGTAGAATATAATGTATATAATATTAAGAAAATGCACAAGTCAGCACTGAGAGTTGCCCCACATATTTGGAAACTGGTCCCTAATAAAACCTCATTTACAAATTAATACATATAGCTCGTCTGGAGATGGGTCATTTCTCAAAGTAATACAGGAACACCCAGGCAATGATCATCCCAGCAACAACTCAAGATTGGAATCACTAGAGCCCGATACATCTAAATACCGTGTTCCCCTAACTGCATCAGAGAGATTCATCACTTCCCAGACACCAGATTGTTCGACTCAACGCAAAAAAAGAAACAACTTTATAAATATGTAAGACTTTGAATAGAAAGGAAAAGCTAATCACCAAAATCCCAGCCTTGAACAAAATATTCCCTATAAAAACCGCTTGTATAAGAAAGTAGTGTGTGGCATCAGGAGACCCTCTACTAGAGCAGTCAAACCTGTGACCCACCCGGCGTCAACCCCAAGCTCACCTCTGTTTCTTTGTAATTAACTCAGAATTCAACCGCTATAATAAAACTGGTTTTTAATTTTAATTCAGCTGAGTTCATGTTGATTTACAACACAGGTCAACAACAACGGCGTGATCTCCTTCAACGCCCTGGTCAGCCAGTTCACGCCCGAGGCCTTCCCGCTGACCGACGGCCGCGCCTTCGTGGCGCCCTTCTGGGCCGACGTGCACAACGGCATCCGCGGCGAGATCTACTACCGCGAGAGCGCGGAGCCGGAGCTGCTCCGCAGGGCCTCCAGGGACATCCGCCGCCACTTCAGGGACATGGCCTCCTTCTCTGCCCTCTGGCTCTTCATCGTCACCTGGGAGGAGGTGACCTTCTACGGGGGAAGCAGCACCACACCCGTAAGTGGCTTCTCGTGGGTGTGGTTGGTTGGATTGCTGTAGCGTTCCGGGCTTGCTGTTAGGAAAATAACCATCTGTTTCCTTTATATGCAGCCAACGACAAAGGGGGATTCGCACGCAGCGTTATTAGACAATCTTGCAGTTCACAGATGACAGTTGGAAAGAGATAAATGTTCTATTGGCTGAACATGAAACAGAGCTGAATTGTAATACTGAGTTCAAATGAATTTTCTTTGAAAGGGAATGTTTCTCTAACACCCTTTTAAGAGTTTTAACCTATGGAAAAATCTTAGGAATGGCTATTACATTTAAAATTAAGATCAATACTTGGTTGTCGCTATAGGACACGTGAAAACACAACGCAAGCTACTGCGATTTGTAAAAAAGAGAGAATTTATTTTCTAACTCCAGCATTTATACTTTTCCAAAGGTGACAGCGGATTGGAGAGTGAATGTGCTACCTCTCCAAAGACACTGGACAAACTACTAGTATATTAAATTTTTCTACGTCTATGAAGGAATGTAAAACAATATGTTGTTTACAGAAAGTTGTGTGAGAAAATTCTCTAACAGAATGTAAACTCAGAAAACTTTAGAAAATCTTTAGAATCACGGCAACACTTGCTTTATTTCTGATCACATTAGTTGACCTGCCACAGGTCAACTAATTAATTCTTCCTGACACTAATTAGTTCTTGCTGCTTGTCCAAGTGATTGAAGAGTAACAAGCAGCTGTAGGCTCCTCCCTCCTCAGATGAATCCCAGTATTTAATCTGACACTTTCACCAAAGTTTCACCTTTTAAGTACGGTCCATGTAGTCCTCGAAGGGAAGTGTAGATATGTTAGGTAGACATGGCTAGAAATGGTCAATAGCTGCTCTTGCAATGAACATTGTGCCTGACAGGAAATTCTGATGCATTTGACACTGGTACCCACACAGGGCATTCTTTGTCTGCTGTCTCTGTACTAATTTCTTGCTATTTGCCACAATTGGACACAAACTGTAAAAAGTCTGGGATCTGTAAAAAATCTTAATGGACAACACTCTGTAAAAAGGGAATTTTTTAAATTTTATGTCTTGTCCCCTCCAAAAAGAGGAATTTTGGGGGTTGATGGAAGTGTTCTTCATCATCTGTGTGTAAAATTGAGTGAGACACTTTGTGTTCCTGCTCCCCGGTTCTCTTCTGGGCAGAGGAGCAGCACGGTCCTTTCATTCTCTCCCCTGGGAACCTGTAGGAGCCTCGCTCCCTGCTTTCAGATCTCCAGGGAAAACATCTCCTCCTCAGTGTTTGCAGGATCTAAGCAGGGCTCTGACACCAATTAGGACTTTCTGGCTTGATCATAATGCATTTCTTGCATACAAATTCAGCTGTTTCAGACGGCAGCTCCCTGCCTGCACGGAGATTGATCACGCTGCTCAGAGTCACACTAATGACTTGGCCATGTCACATGGCCCTGAATGTGTGAGCTGTACCTCACAGGAGGGGGATGACGCTGGGATGTTTGTCAGGGCATGGACAGCTTTTAAATATCTGGTGAATTTATGAGCTGCGAGTGCAGCTGATGCTGGGAGGTCCGTGCTGGACTGCTGGTAGGGGCTGTGCTGGAGCTTGGGGTGAAGATAGAATCAGAGTGGTTTGGGTTGGAAAAGATCACCTCCTTCCACCCCCTGCCATGGGCAGGGACAGCCTCCTCTAGACCAGGCTGCCCCAAGCCTCATCCAACCCGTTCTTGAACAGCAAGTAGGGGATTCCAGCTATCCTCTGGGCTGCTCAGGATTAGCCTGTGTGCTGTGAGTGCCAGACCCCAGCTTCTCCTGTCTCGAGGAGCTGGCTCTGATAAACAGTTCAGCTCTTTTCCATTTGTTAAAGAAGCTTGAGATCTGATGCATATTTTTTGCCAGTCCTGGCAGCACTTGCAGAAAAACCCCCACGTACATATATATATATATATATATATATATTTATATATATATTTTCAGACAGCAAGCAATATAGAGATCCGTGTATTGCCTGAAGAATTACATTTGCAACACAATGCAATTTATTTTGCTTTAGAGCAGCCTTCTTCCCCAGCAGCAGCCAGGGCTCAGGGTTGGCACAAGGAATAGCACCATGCAACTTAAGCAGGAATTTCATCGCAGTGCAGAAGAGCTGCAGAAAATTTGGGAATGTGGCCTCAGGGACACTGCAGTTGCTGCCTGGAGATGTCACCTGAGCAAACAGGTTCATTTTCTGAGAGTTGGGCAGAGAGAATGCTCCATGGCCAGGAACTCCAAAGAGGAGAATTTTGGGGGTTGATGGAGGTGCTCTTGATGAGGAGAACCAGGTGTAAGATTCACCTCCTGCCACTCTCCCAGAGGCTCCTGAGCATGGAAAAGCTGTTGTGGCACCCTCCAAGTGGCACTGCCTTCATGTGTGACATGTTTGTGACCTCCCAGCACGGCAAAGGCCTTGGCAGAGGTGAGCAAGAGGAAAGCAGGAGTAGGAGAAAGAACACCAGGGAAGGGATGAGGAGTGGAAGTGGCTCTGCTTTACTCCCTGCCCTGCCTGCCTCGGTGTGAACTCTGCCATTTGCAGCTGCTGAGAGGCAGCTTTGCCCACACCTCTCCCTCTGTCTCCTGACAGCTCCCAGAGCTGCTTTGCCTCCGTGTTCCAGAGTTCTCCTGGCAGGGGCCTCATTTCCTTGGAAGTGACATCCCCTGGGCTCCCCTCCGAGGCATCCTCAGAGCCAGTGGGTTTGCTCCAAGGGGATGGAACGTGGTGCCAAGTGACCCCCAGCCCTCCCCTTCCTCCAGCAGCCACCAGCTGCTTGCAGTGCTCAGGGCTCCTGGCAGGATAAGCCCTGATGCTTCCCAGTGGGAGATATTTGGATCCGTGGGCTTTCCCAGTCACCTGGGAATTGTTTCTGTGGTTTCCTCCCCAGTGTGCACTGCCCAGGTAGCCAGGCTCGAAGGGCTGCTCTGCATTAATTAAAAGCCTGCTCAGAGGCAGGAGGAGCTGCTCTCATGGCATGGCCCAGGGCAGGGATGGGAAGGACAGGAAAATGCAGGGAGCTGAGGGAAGTGGCTGACTGAGCTCCCAGTGCTGAGCTCTGCTGCTGGATCTGCAGGGATGGAGGGGATATCTCAAGGGAAGGAGCTGCTTCTGTCTTTCTGCACAGCCCTAAAAGGGAAGATGGGCTCTTCCCACCTGGATCCTGGCTGGAATGTGCCTGGCGTTTATGGGGCTGGAAATGCAGAGTCATTTAAAGTGAAAGGAAGAACAAGAGCAGAGGATTTAGCAGGTAGGGAGGGGCAGCCAGCAAAGTGCAGGATATACATGGCTGGCTTGGATGTAATCCACCCTCAGCAGCGTTGTAGGATTTGAATGTGGAAGGGAACTGGGAAAGATAATGCAGGAAGAAAGCAAAGACAGGTAATGGGAGATAACAGATCACAAGCACCAAATCCTGCCCGCTGCTCCCTCCCCATCAGCTTATTCTCATGCTGCCATCTATTGGTGTTCCCTTGGATCAGAGATGGTCTTCACACGCTCCCAGCTGCAGGAAGGAGCAGAATGGGAGCTGCTGGAGCTGTGGCAGTAAGATGAAATGTATTTTGGGTCTCCTTCCACTTCTACTCATCACTGTGAGGCTCACCCAGGCCAGACATCGATGTGGCAGAAGGGCAGGAGCAAAGCAGTACCACCTGTGAATGTGCCCGTGGTTTTCCACAGGTGAACACGTTCCAGGCTGTCCTGATCACAGACGGGGTGTCATCCTTTGCCTTGTTTAACTACCACGAAATCAGCTGGACCACGGGCACAGCCAGCGGAGGGGATCCCCTCACTGGTCTCGGCGGGGTGATGGCTCAGGTGAGGCTCTCGCTCCTGTATCCCCATCCCTGATGAGCTCTTGGATGACTGCCTATGGCTTTTCCAAAGTATCTATGCTTGCTCAGGCCACTGAGCCCCTCAGCATCCCCAGCACTGGCCCTGCACTCAACTGCTGGGCACGGTGGGATGAGCACTCCGAAATTTGGTGCTGGCAGCAGTGGCACTGCCAGTCCCTCTGCCTGAGGAGGGGACATTGCTGCATGAGGAATGCAGGAATCCTGCACCCCCACATTGCTTCCTCACTTTATCTCTCCCTACATTGCTCCCCCACTTCATTTTGGCCACTCAGTTCACACATCCTTAGATCTCTATGTACATACATATGTAGCTATACAAACATAAATCTCTGAATACCCACTCCCTCTGCTTGTAGTACCTGTTTAGCTTTTCATTCACATCCAGACTACCTGAAAACAGAAATTTAGACTACCTGAAAACAGAAATCTCCAGAAAGAGCTGTTAAAACTAAAGAAGATGTGCTCAGGAGGAACAGAGAAGTGAGGAAATGCAGCATGGCTTTCCCATTGCCAAGATGGGTGATGGAATTTGCTCTCTCTCTGGTTTAGGCTGGCTTCAATGGTGGAAATCTCACCAACTTTTTCAGCATCCCAGGCTCCAGAACTCCAGACATTGTCAATATTGAGGAAACAACCAACGTGAACGTCCCTGGGCGTTGGGCTTTCAAAATCGATGGCAGAGAAATAGACCCGGCCAACGGCTGCAGCCTGAGAGGTAAGGGAGAAATGGCATTACTTGTCCCCAAATTTTGGGGTGCAGTGTAGCAAAAGGTGATGCTGTTGGGGTGCTACATGATCTGTGCTTTTGCCAGGGCGTCCCCATGAGCTGCAGCTGCAGGGACAGAAGCACAAGAGAGAGTTCAGCCCTTGCACGTCTCTGAGTTCCTGAGATAATTGGTAGCAACAGGAAAAACCCAGGGAAAACAATTTTCTTCTGCCCGTAAATTAGGGAAGCTGCTGTTGTGGTGCCATTTCCCTTGTTTGTGCAGGAGGAACAGCAGGTTTTGCAGGCAGGACAAATGTCTCTGCAGCAGTTACACAGTCTGTGCCTGTCACTGGCAGCACGGGGCCATAAAGGGATTCATCGGTGCACACACAGGGGCCCTGCTGATGGAAGATTATTGCATTTCCATTTCACAAATAAAACTGTCAGGAGCATCCAGGAGTCTTTCCAGCAAGAGGGGATTGTCATTTGCTGACAGACACTGGAGACATGTGGCTTCTTTATGTCCTAGATTAGGACCTCTCAAGGTCCACGAGATTCCAAGGCTCTTGCAGCTCCAGCAGAGTTTTGGGTCCAGCTTCTCCAGCATTTTCCAGCTGCTGACTCCAGGAAGAAAAGCTGAATTTTGCAGAGAAGCTGGAAAGCAGTCTCAGCTCTGCAGGTGACAAGAGGAGTGCGAGTAGATCCCGCCACTGGATTTAAATTTCACAGTGAATGGCTGATTGCCCTCCACGAGAGGAGGTGCAGCACGAGGTGTTGGATCCAAATGACATCCCTTTCCCAAACTCCCCACACCAGGATGGTTGGAGCGTGGGCCTTGCCAAGAGGAGACAGAGGAGACATTTGTTGCAAGAAAGCAGAAAATAGCTTTTATTTATTTTTTTTTTTTTAGGAGAGGTAAACTCGGGCAGCGCATGGCAGAAGCCATGCGCCGGAGGAGTGTGAAAAATGGGCAGATGGAGGGGAGAGAAACTCTCACGGGGACTTGTCACCCTTGTTCTCCAGCCTTCTTCCTGCCTCTCCTGTCTCTCACCAGCCAAACCCGCTCCCTCTCTGGTGCTGTCTGGGGCTGTGAGATCACTCAGCACCCTGCTGGGGCTCGTGTGTAGGGTGAAGCTGCTTATCAACAGCTCTTTGGTGTAGTAACTACTACGAGCTCTTCCTGAATGGGAGTAAATTGCTCCTGGGGCTGCTGATGACAGAGTGACTTTTTGACCAGCAGAGTTATGTGAACAGGGGAACTGTGGAAGCGACAGCAAAGCTGGAGGATGGTGCAAGTGCAGCTAAAGTGCTGGAAACTGCCTCCAAATGGGGCTTTTCCTTTGGGAAAACAGCACAAATGCCTCTTGTGCCCTGCAATGCTGAAGAAGAACCAGAGTGGTGGGTGTCCAAAATGTGCGAAACAACCTTCAAGCTTTCCAGCCTGCATGTTGCAGCACTGACCCCGGATTTGTGACAGCACTCGTGGCGTGGGCAGGACTCAAAGAGGAGGCACCACACATTAGAAATGAAACTTGGAGTTTGCTGAGTGGCTCTTGCTGGGAGTTTGCACAAAGACAGCAGCTGAGAAGCCCAGCAGCAGGACATGGTGGTGGTGGTGGTCTCCAACGCAGGATCAGCAGACTCCCCGAGGGTGCACTCAGAGCGTGTTTCTGTTTCAAGAAGGGATGTAGCGTGGGTTTTTCCCTTTCTGTCTTTCTAGGACAGTTTCTCCGCCAAGGGGAGATCTTTTGGGACAACGCCAACTGCACCACCAAGTGCCGCTGCCTGGACTTCAACAATGAGATCCTCTGCCAGGACATGGCTTGTGGCCCCTTCGAGGCGTGTGAGACGAAGACCAAATTCTTCCAGTGCGTGCCGGTGGAGAGCAGCACCTGCGTGGTGTTCGGAGATCCACATTACCACACCTTCGACGGCTTCCTCTTTCACTTCCAGGGTTCCTGCTCCTACCTCCTCGCCAGGCAGTGCTGGCCAGGCTCCCAGCTGCCCTACTTCAACGTGGAGGCCAAGAATGAGAACCGAGGCGGCTCCTCCGTCTCCTGGCTGAGGGATATTTATGTGGAGGTCTACTCACACAAGATTGTTCTCCCCAAGGGCGGCTTTGGGAAGGCAAAGGTAAGAGCTCTGCTGGAAGGGGACAACTTGCCAGGTCAGCTCCTCTGAGGTGGCTGCACCCTGTGGAGTGTGGGATGGCACTTCATGGCCTCGTGTGTCCTGGGGAATGGGCATGGGTGACACAGAGTGCCTGTAGCTTACCAACAGATGTCCTTCTGTGCATGTCCCTCCCCCAAGACCCCCCGACAGGGCTGTCCTGTCTGTGTCCCAGCACAAGGGCTCCGCTTTCCACGCGCTGCCTCAGCCGCCGGGTGTTGTCCCCGCAGGTGGATGACCTGGTGGTGTCCCTGCCCATCTCCTTGGAACTGGGCGCGATCAAGGTCTACCAAAGCGGGCTGTCCACTGCCCTGGAGACTGACTTTGGCCTGCTGGTGACCTACGATGGGCAGCACTACGCCTCCGTGTCCGTGCCGGGCTCGTACATCAACGCCACGTGCGGGCTGTGCGGCAATTACAACAAAGACCCCGAGGACGACGTCCTGCGCTCGGACGGGACGGCGGCCACGTCCGTGCCCGAGCTGGGCGAGAGCTGGCGGGTGCCACATCCCGAGCGCAGGTGCTCCACGGGCTGCCTGGAGAACTGCAGCCTCTGCGACCCCGCCACCGAGGCGCTGTATTTCACCCCCGAGTACTGCGGCTTCATCAACAAGAGCGGGGGGCCCCTCTGGGAGTGTGGCTCTGTCGTGGATCCCACTGCCTTCATCCACAGCTGTGTCTACGACCTCTGCAGCGCCAAGGACAATGGCACCGGGCTGTGCCAGGCCATCCAGGCGTATGCCACCGTGTGCCAGGCCCTGGGCATCTCAGTGGGAGAGTGGAGGAGCCAGACGGGATGCGGTGAGTGTTTGGGAGGGGGGGAGCAATGACAGGGGTTTGCCTGAGTGCCCAGGAGTGCGTGACAGGATGGGGAGGAAATCCAAGGGAGGGAGTTGCCTGAAGTGGAGGGAGTTGGGAGAAAGAACTGATGGGTCCCTCCTCTCCATGGCATCACACCCTTGCTCTGTGGCATGGTTTGACACTGGCACAATGCCAGCTCCCCCATGAAAATGCAACCCCCCAGATGATTGCTGTGAGATACGATCACGCAAAAGCGTGGCACAAGTCAGGCATGAGGTGGGAGCTCTGTGTGGCTCTGGAGGTCATCAGCTGCCACGAGGAGAGTTGGAGGTTGGACTGGAATGGGGACTGGTTGGTCAGTCCACCATCCTCGTGGCCTCAAATAGCTGTGGGCGACTCAGTGGTTCTTGGGGCTGTTTTGGAGAAGCCCAGGACTGGCCACGGGGGTCTCTGTGGGAAATGGAGGGGTCAAAACTCCCACTGAGGGGTTCCTGGGTCACCCTGTGCTGTGGTCAGGGAGAGGGTGGCAGCTCTGAACTGTGCTGTAACACGGCCCTTCTGTTTGTCACCCCTCTGCGCCCGCAGCGGCGGCCGTGCAGTGCCCGGAGCTCAGCCAGTACTCGGTGTGTGCCAGCAGCTGCCCTGCCACCTGCTCAGACCTCACGGCCCCGCTGGCCTGCGCCTCCCCCTGCACCGAGAGCTGCGAGTGCCCCGAGGGCCACGTCCTCAGCGCCGACCGCTGCGTCCCCGTGCGGGGCTGCGGCTGTGACGTGAACGGCCGCTACTACACCGCCGGGGAGACCTTCTGGGCAGCACCAGACTGCACCGTGCAGTGCCACTGCGAGGCTGGCGGGGAGGCCAGGTGCTTCAACACCACCTGCCCCGAGGGAGAGATCTGCACCATCGAGAACGGCTACCGGGGGTGCTACCCAAAGCGGGAGACCGTGTGTTTGGTGGGGCAGGAGCAGGTGCTGCGGACCTTTGATGGCATCACCTTCCCCTACCCGCTGGAACAGTCCTACACACTGCTCAAGACCTGCCCAGAGAGGCCAGACTTCATTGAGGTGGACATCAACCAGAAGAAGGTCGGCTCTGCTCCCAACGGGCCACGCGTCGTGCGGGTCCAGGCAGCCGGCCAAGAGGTGAAGATTGGAGGCACCAGGCTGTCAGACATTAAGGTAAAGGTGCTGCCCTGGGACAGGTGGGAGGTGGTGGCTTGTGGTGTGATGCAGTGGAGATTACAGGTCTGTGGCTGTGGGCACCACAGAGACACTTGAACCACCATGTGGAGGCCCTTTGGGTGCCTGTGAAGTTGTTGCCACAGCACTGCTCCTTCTGTTTGCTGAGGAAGCTTTCCTGCCTCCTCCTTCTACTGCAATTCGCTTTTTCCCTGGAAAAATTACTTTTTGTGGGGCAAAAACCAAAGGTACAGCTGTATGCCCTCACTCAGAGGAGGCTCGAGGCCTTGGAGTCTGGGTCAGGAAGTGTTTAATGTGCACAGAGTGGTTGGACACAGCCACATCACCCTCCCTGAAGCCTCTCCACCTTGTTCCTTGCAGGTGAATGGTTATGACGTGGAGCTGCCCTATTTCCACCCCTCTGGGCGCCTGGAAATCTACCGGACTGACAACAGCACCGTGATGGAGTCCGAGGGGCTCCTGGCCATCAGCTACTACGACTCCGGCCTCCTGGAGATCCGCCTCTCCACCTCCTACTTCAACTGCACCAGGGGCCTCTGCGGCCTCTTCAACGACAACGCCACCGACGAGTTCTGCCTGCCCAAGGGCAAGTTCACAGACAACCTGGAGCTCTTCCTGGAGAGCTGGACCACCTTCGACGAGATCTGCAACGGCGAGTGCGGGGACCTGCTCATGGCTTGCAACAACGACTCGGAGCTGCTCAAGTCCTACAGGAGCCGCTCCAGCTGCGGCATCATCAACGACCCCACCAACAGCTCCTTCCTGGAGTGTCACAGCGTGGTCAACGTCTCGGCCTACTACAGGACGTGCCTCTTCCGCCTGTGCCAGAGCGGGGGCAACGTGTCGGAGCTGTGTGACTCGGTGGCACGCTACGCCAGCGCCTGCAAGAACGCCGACGTGGACATCGGCCAGTGGAGGAGCCACAGCTTCTGCCGTGAGTCCACCAGAGCTCTTCAGCACCCAGGATGGGGAGAAGGGAGTTTGGAACCCACCAAACCCAGGCAGAGTGCTTTTGGTGGGGATCTGTGGGTGTGCAGAGGTGGAACAGCTTTTCGTGTGGGATGCTGGAATCACAGGCAGTGCTTTCTGGTGCCAGCAGAGAGAGATTTCCCAGGGAAGCACTTTCAGGGTGGCATTTCAAGAGGCAGCAGAAGTTTTATGGGGCACTGTAGGAGCATTCTGGAGCCACAGATGGTGTCTGGCGGTGCCGTACGCCACCACCAGAGGATAATTTGAATAACGCTGGTTTTTAGCTGTCGCTGTAAACTTGCCGTGGCTGGGAGAACATTCATAATTCAGAAGCAAATGTGAAAAATCCCGAGTGTGGAAGTAGATGGTGGGGAGGCTGTACCTGTCTCTGCCTCAGAGGTTTCAGGGAGGTGTTTGTTTAGGAAATAACACAAGGAGGTGATGTCTGGCACATGGCAGGACATGGCTGAGATGTGAGGGAGGTAATGGCTGAGGGGAGAAGGGGTTGCAAAGGGGATGGGATGAGCCAGTGGCCACAGGGTGCTGGGACTGTTTCCCCTTTTCCCCTGAATCCATCACCACCTGCTTTTTGCCTGTTCCTCACCCCGTGCTGTCAGAGGCTCAGGCTCTGTGTTTGCCAACCCTGCAGCTCTGTCCTGCCCGGAGAACAGCCACTTTGAGGAGTGCATGAGCTGCGTGGAGACCTGCGAGAGCCTGGCCTCGGGCCCCGTGTGCCGGGACACCTGCTCGGAGGGCTGCCAGTGCGACGAGGGCTTCGCCCTGCGCGGCACCCGCTGCATCCCCCGCCGCGAGTGCGGCTGCAACTTCGAGGGCCGCCAGCTGGCCACCAACCAGACCTTCTGGATGGACATCTCCTGCCACTTCCTGTGCTACTGCAACGGCTCGGACAACAGCGTGTACTGCGAGAACGTGTCCTGCAAGGACGACGAGTATTGCCTGGAGGAGAACGGCCTCTACTACTGCCACGTCCGCACCGATGCCTCCTGCATCATCTCGGGCTATGGGCACTACCTGACTTTTGATGGCTACTCCTTCGACTTCCAGAGCAGCTGTGAGCTGGTGCTGTGCACCACCATCTCCCGGCCCAGGGTGGAGCGCTCGGACACGTTCCCGGCGTTCACTGTCACAGCCAAGAACGAGGACCGGGACACCTCTCTGGCCCTGTGGGTGAAGCAGGTGGAAGTGGAGGTTTTTAATTACAAGATTGTCATCCACCGTGCCTACAAATACACTGTGCTGGTGAGTGCAGGGCTATGAAGGCTGTGATTATTTCTGCAGGCATGACTCCAAAACTGTGGAGCAAAACCCTGGACAGGAGGCCTTATTGCTTGCAAGGTTTTCTGGGGGTCAGGTCATGCTTGAGCTCATCCTAGGGTGCTGCCAGGCAGAGCTTTAGGAGAGGATTTCTGTTTTGGCTGCAGAGGCGAGGTCAGCAGGGATGTTTCTCTGAGAATGCCAAGCCACCCTCATTTCTGTCCCTCTCTGGAAGCTCCCACCATCATTCTCCCTCACAGCGTGCCTTGTTTCCTCCCTGCAGATCAACGACGAGCGCCTCTACCTGCCCCTGAAGCTGGGCCAGGGCAAAGTGAACATCTTCGCCTTCGGCTTTCACATCGTGGTGGAGACCGACTTCGGGCTGAAGGTGGTGTACGACTGGAAGACCTTCCTGTCTGTCACCATCCCACGGGGCTTCCAGAACCTCACCTACGGCCTCTGCGGCCGCTACAACGGCAACCCCGAGGACGACCTGGTGGCCGCAGGGGGCACGCCGGCCACCAGCATCGGTGACTTTGTGCAGAGCTGGGCCAAGCGAGACGCCTTCTGCCGCGTGGGCTGCGGCGACCGCTGCCCGGCCTGCGGCAAGGTGGAAGGGTTCTGGAAGCCCCAGCAGCTCTGCAGCCTCATCCCCAGCCAAAGTGGTGTTTTTGCCAAGTGCCACAGCAAGATCAATCCCGGTTTCTTCTACAAGAACTGCCTCTTTGACACCTGCGTGGATGGGGGGGCCATGCAGACAGCCTGCAGCTGGCTGCAGAACTATGCCAGCACGTGCCAGACCCAGGGCATTGCCATCACTGGCTGGAGGAACTTCACCTCGTGCTGTAAGTGCCACCCTGCCTCCAGGTCTGTCTTTTCCAGGGGTGCCAGGGAGGTGGGGGGGCAATGGCCTGGCAGCCAATCCCTCCCACGCTTGCTGGGTGAAGTATGGGACACTGTGTTCACCTGGAGTTGTCACAAGCTGCATGTGGTACAGCAGGAGCAAGGAAAGGGATGGAAAGGGGTAAGCCTCAGGTTCATAAGGGACATGGATGGAAAGGGGAAGCCTCAACCTTAGAAAGTATAGGGATGGAAAATGGAAACCCCCAAGATCAGAAGGGACAGGGATGGAAAATGAAAAGCCCCAAGATCAGAAGGGACAGGGATGGAAAATGGAAAGCCACAAGCTCAGAAGGGACAAGGATGGAAAATGGAAAGCATCAAGCTCAGAAGGCATCAGCCATCCCCTAGGATGTTAACCAGGGATTGTATCAGTCAGTCTCAATGCCAACAGTGCGTGTTTGCTCTAATGAAGCTGCAGCCCCCTGTCAATAAGATGACGATGTGCTGTTCAATCAGGCTCCTGAGGATGGGCACCACACGCATCCCTGGCAGCCAATCTGTCTGGCAAATCAGATGGGAAGTAATTGTCCTTGCTAACGAGACTGAAAATTAAATTTGTGTCATTTTTCCCTTCTAACAAGCAAGCTCATGGCTCAGGGGCCCCACTCTCACAGGGTGGTGAGGCCACAAACTGGCACCATGCATCACAGGTCTGAATCAGTCCCTGGTGGGGAGCCAGGTTGGTGGTGTCCATGGAGCTAATCTGTGTCTCTTTTGTCCCCTGCTCAGCTGTCAGCTGTCCCCCCAACAGCCACTACGAGAGCTGCGTGTCCCTGTGCCAGCCCCGGTGTGCTGCCATCCGGCTGAAGAGCGACTGCAGCCACTACTGCGTGGAGGGCTGCCAGTGTGACCCTGGCTATGTCCTCAATGGCAAGAGCTGCATCCTGCCCCACAACTGTGGCTGCTACTCTGACGGCAAATACTACGAGGTACGCAGCTCTTGGGGCCTGCTCCCTCCCTCTGGATGATATTTCTGGGCAGAGTTTGAGAGGGGATGACAGTCAGGCTGGGCTAATAGCAGGGCTAGAGAGGAGAGGGATGTCCTTCCATGGTATGCTGCATAGGGAGCCTTTCTATCCAAAAAAAACCATCATGCAGTTGTTGGTGAAGGTGACCTGGGTGTCACACACAGGAGGGGGCTGGTGGAGGTGCAATGGAGAGAAGATGGTGAGGTGGTGACTGGGAGGACTCTTTGATGAGTGCCAAAGTCCAGTATTGTGTGATCACATTGGGCTAGGTATTCACACATCATAGATTTAGTGTTTCACATGAAATTTGCTTTTTTGTAGCTACTGGAAGTCAGTGAGGAGTTTGAAGCAGCAGTCCTGTGCTGATAGCATTGGTCAAATCATAGTGGCTTGTATTTTATGCCAGTGAAGCTGTTCTGGGTCAGGTGCCTTTGCTGCATGAGGAGCCAATTTTGGGGTACTGTCATATGGGCTTCCTTGCAGATGGGTTGGTGGCTGGCAGAATGCAAAAAAGAGCCAAGGAGGTACAGAGCCAAGGAGGCACAGATGTGCCCTGTCCCTTCATCTGAGGGCTGTGAGGGCACTACTGGTTCTGAAGAGCTGGCAGGCAGCTGCGAGGGAGGTGATGGAACCTGCATGGTACAGCGCAAGACAGAGTAAATGCAGTGGGCCTGGGAGCCCAATAGTGAGGTTGGACATTTAGGTGGACACCAGCCTGGCGTGGTCTGAGGAGCATCTGGGAGGGAGGCACCCCGAGCCCCAGCTCACTGTGGTTTTGTGTGTGCACAAGAGGTGAGGGAGGTTGTGGTGGCAGTGCAAACTTGAGTGTGGCTAGCAGAGATGTTGCAAGCTGCCAGCGTGTTCTTCGCACCCTTTCCTCTGCCCTTGTTCCCTGCCCATGCTTGTCGTGTGACAGAGGGGTGCAAACCTTGTCCCAGCCATCCCCTGGGCTGACGGGGCAGCCAGTGATGGGTCCCTCTTTCAGCCCAAGCAGCTCTTCTGGAGCGGGGACTGCACGCGGCGGTGCCGCTGCTTTCGGCGCAACCTGATCCAGTGCGACCCGCGGCACTGCAAGTCAGACGAGGAGTGCGCGCTGCGCAACGGCGTCCGCGGCTGCTTCAGCACCCGCAGCTCCTTCTGCCTGGCGGCCGGCGGCGGCGTCTTCCGCACCTTCGACGGCGCCTTCCTCCGCTTCCCCGCCAACTGCGCCTTCGTCCTCTCCACCATCTGCCAGAAGCTGCCCGACTTCTCCTTCCAGCTCATCATCAACTTCGACAAGTGGTCCTCGCCCAACCTCACAATCATCTCCCCCGTGTACTTCTACATCAACGAGGAGCAGATCCTCATCAGTGACAGGAATACTGTCAAGGTGAGGTCTCGTCAGGGGTGTCCAGCCCCTCCAGAATGGGGCTGGGAGGGGATAGTGGGTGGCAGTCCAGGCTGCACAATAGCCTCCACACGGGCCTTGGACTACTGTCAATGTTTTCACAGCTGGAATAGTGGGAAGCAGCCAAATATTTTATGAGAGGCTCACGCCCACATCCGTAGGCAGAGGATATGGGAGGGACATCAGCTTCGTGTCCTTCTCTTGTGCTAGGTGAACGGAAGCCTCGTGAGCATCCCCTTCGTCACGGGGCTGTCCACCAAGATCTTCAGCCAGGAGGGCTTTCTGGTCATTGACTCCAGCCCCGACATCCAGATCCGCTACAACGGCTTCAATGTCATCAAAATCACCATCGGGGAGCGGCTGCAGAACAAGGTGTGCGGCCTCTGCGGCAACTTCAACGGCGACCGCACCGACGACTACGCCACGCTGCGGGGCAAGCCGGCCGTCAGCAGCGTGGTGCTGGCACAGAGCTGGAAAACCAACGGCATGCAGAAGAGGTGAGTGCACAGCCAGCCCTTTCCCACCAGGTGGGAGCGGGAATGGGAGCAGGGCTGGCCGTGAAAGGAGCCCCCACGACGTGTCCGGTGCCCACAGCTGCAACGAGCTGCAGTATTCGCAATACGCCGCCTCCTGCGACAACGTCCAGATCCAGGAGCTGCAGAGTGACAGCTACTGCCTGAAGCTGACCGACATGAAAGGCTTCTTCCAGCCCTGCTACGGCCTCCTGGACCCGCTGCCATTTTACGAGTCCTGCTTTTTGGATGGCTGCTACAACCACAAGAAGGTGCAGCTGTGTGGCTCGCTGGCTGCCTACGGAGAGGCCTGCAGGACCTTCGGCATCCTGGGCACCGAGTGGATCGAGAAGGAGAATTGCTGTAAGAGAACTGGGGCTGCTCAGGTCGAGGGGAGCCATGTCCCACTGGGGAAGAGGGGCTGCCCCACAGACTGAGGGTAAAGGTTGTGTTTGTGCTGTGTCTTGTGCTGTTTAGCAGGAGTGGTGGAAGATCCCTGCGTGGGCGCCGACTGCCCCAACCGCACCTGCGAGCTGGACAACGGCGGGGAGCTGTGCGGCTGCATCGAGCCCCCGCCCTATGGGAACAGTGAGTCCTCTGCTCCCGGCTGTGGGGTCAGTGCCGAGCTCCACCTTGGGCCTTTATGCCACAGGGACTTTGGGAAGGGATGTGCTGAGGGCTGTGACCTCTGCCAAGATGGGTTTCCCTGACCATGCGCAGTTCAGGTGGGGAGCAGAGAGCAGGGAACAGCTTTTCTGGGGTGCACATTATGGGAATCTCTGGTTTGGGAGCACTTTGGAGCAGCAGGAGTGTAGGATGGGCTGAGCACAACGCAGGAGATGATCCCAGCCCATTTCTGGTGGTGGGAAGAAGTGCCAAGGGGTCATTTGTGGTGATCTGAAGTTGTGTCATCTCCTCCTCCAGCCACTCATGACATCATTGATGCTGAGGTGACCTGCAAAGCTGCCCAAATGGAGGTGTCCATTTCGAAGTGCAAGCTGTTCCAGCTGGGCTTTGAGCGTGAGGGCGTGCGGGTCAACGACCGCCACTGCCCTGGCATTGAAGGGGAAGACTTCATCTCCTTCCAGATCAACAACACCAAAGGCAACTGTGGCAACTTGGTGCAGGTGAGCTGGGACATGGGGCACACAGGGCTGGGAGTGTGGGACAGTCCACTGCAGTCCAGCTCAACTCCAGGCTTGGGGCAGGTCAGTGCAAGTGATGTTGGGAAGTGCTTTAATGGGCTGGGGGTCAAGGAGAACACGAGGGTTTTGTAGAGTAAGGATGCAACTCCAAGCCCCACCATTCCATACCCTTTCTGGCCAGAGTTGGAGGAGCAGCAGGTCCCTTGTCACCCAGCTCATTTAGAGGTGCTCAATAGGAGCAGGGAAGCGGGGACAGCTGGAGTTAAGCCGTGGCCTGTGTTCCCTCCGCAGTCCAACAGCACTCACATCGTGTACAAGAACACGGTGTGGATCGAGAGTGCCAACAACACGGGCAACATCATCACCCGGGACAGGACCATCAATGTGGAGTTTTCCTGTGCCTATGAGCTGGACATCAAGATCTCCCTGGATTCAGTCGTGCGACCAATGCTCAGGTAGGAGCAGGGCCCCTCACACAGACGGGTGAGGCAGTGCTGGTTCTGAAGCAAGGCAACAATTTGGGGGTTCAAACCCTTTCCACCGACTGAGCCAGTGTTTTTTATCATCGTTAGTGTGATTAACCTGACGGTGCCGACACAGGAAGGGAGCTTCACCACCAAGATGGCCCTGTACAAGAACTCGTCCTACAAGCACCCGTACCGGCAGGGCGAGGTGGTGCTCACCACCCGGGACGTGCTCTACGTGGGGGTCTTCGTGGTGGGGGCCGACTCCAACCACTTGATCCTGATGCTGAACAAGTGCTACGCCACCCCCTCGCGGGACAGCAACGACAAACTGCGCTACTTCATCATTGAGGGAGGGTGAGCTACCACGAGCCCCGTTGGTTTTCATGGCATCTGGGAGGGTGGTGGCATCAGCTGGGACAAGCACCTTTAGGCCAATGGGATGATTGATCAAAATCTGGAAAGGTGAGGAGCAGTGTTGTTAGAGCAGGAGTTAATTTGCTTGGTGTGGACACAGCCAGAAGCCCTGCATATGACAGAGTACCATGTGCAGAGAGAAGCATTTTCCTTCTGTCAGTGATGCTGTGGACAATACCTAACTAATAATATGGATCATGCACAGGCATTTTGGGAAGCTGGAAATGCCAGAAAGAGGTGGCAGAGGCAGGGTATGACACCCTTGTCCAGACAAGCCGTGGCAGGGTCTAAGCACCCCACTGTGGGACCTGGGGTGAGGGGCTTTGTGGTGACAGGGAGGGTCCCAGTCACAGGAGGGTGGTGCTGAGCATCAGTGCTTTGCACAGGTGCCAAAACATGAAGGACAACACCATTGGCATAGAGGAGAACGGGGTGTCCCTGACATGTCGCTTCCACGTCACCGTCTTCAAGTTCATCGGGGACTACGACGAGGTTCACCTGCACTGCGCCGTGTCCCTCTGCGACTCCGAGAAATACTCCTGCAAAATCGTGAGTGGGGCGAGTGCACAGGGAGGGGGTGCTTGATTTGAAGGGCTCTTCCAGAGTGCACTGAGCCCTGATGATGTGGCATCGGGCAGGTGACCAGAGATGTAGGGGTGAGATGGGCAGGTTGTCCCTCTAGGCATGGGGAGGAGATGCTGTCACGACAGGTCACCTTGGGACCTGTGCTCTCTGAGCCTGCTTGCAGGGAGCTGGGACAGGTGGAGGGGCACACAGGGGGCCTGGGCAGAGGCTGAGGGTGATAGAGGTGGTGTTATCCCCAAACAGAACTGCCCTCAGCACACAAGGATGGCCAGCGCCTTCGCCGAGGAGTCCAAGGAGCAGATCCTGTCAGTGGGGCCCATCCGGAGGAAGCGTGAGTGTGGGACCCCAGGGAGGGCTGGGGGGTTTCTCTGCCACCCCAGCCTCGGGCAGACAAGGACCAGGGCTGTGGGAGCACGGCTCAGGTGTCCCCCTTTGCTGTGTGCATCCAGGATCGGACTGGTGCGAGGACAACGGAGGCTGTGAGCAGATCTGCACGAGCCAGGCGGACGGGCCTTTGTGCAGCTGTGTGACAGGGACGCTGCAGGGGGACGGCAAGAGCTGCAGGGGCAAGTATCGGGGTCGGGGCGGGCACAGCAGGGCACTGACACCCCCAAACCGAGGGGCTGTGGGGAAGGTGGCTGGGACATGTGGTGTGTGGAGGGCAGGGAGCCAGATGTGCCCTGTCCCTTCACCTGAGGGCTGTGAGGGCACTGCTGGTTCTGAAGAGCTGGCAGGCAGCTGCGAGGGAGGTGATGGAACCTGCATGGTGCAGCGCAGGGTGGAGCAAATGCAGTGGGCCTGGGAGCCCAGCAGTGAGGTCGGGCATTTGGGTGGGCACCAGCCTGGTTGAGGGGCACCTGGGAGGGAGGCACCCCGAGCCCCAGCTCACGTAGCTCTCGTTGTGTTGGCAGCCTCCAGCTCTTCGGGGGAGCACCGTGCCCGGGTGGCCCTGCTGCTGGCGGCCCAGCTGTGGCTGCGCTCAGCCCCGTGGCACCTCACCTCGTAGGCGCGGCCCCGCCGCCCTGCCAAAAACTGTTCTCGCGTCAGCCTGAGTCTTTGTAGGGTAGGAGACAGCCCCCCTGCCATGGCCACGCTGCTGCCCACCCGGCCATGCCACGAGGAGGCACAGGGATGTGATCGGAGAAAGGTGGGACGCGGACCCGACGGGGACGTGCAGCCGGCACGGCGGCAGCAGCGGCGAGACCGAGCAGGATGTTTGCCAGCAGCGATGTGGGACTGGGGTTTGGGGTTTTCTTACAGCTTTCCTGACATTCCCCACCTCGCACGGCCCCCTGAATATCAGCTAGCCCAGAGGTCCGAGGCTGTGAGGGGAGGAATATCAGGAGATGGCAAAGATTCCCAAAAGAGGCTCTTACCCCAGATATGTTGGTTCAGCTCTCTTTATTCTGTGGTGTCCATGTGGAGGAAGGGGCAAAAGAGGACAAACAGGAAAAGTCAGGGGTCTATATAGACTTTGGACAGGGTGGGCTTCCCTGGCTCTCCACCAACCCCGTTGGGGCAGGAAGGAGGGTCCAGGGTTATCTGAGCAGAGTCACAGGGTCCCGGGGAAGGGGAAATAGAGTGCCCATGAGCTCACTGTAACACTTTCCATCACTGATGTGGGCTCAAGGAGAGGTTTTGCAGCTTTTCCCCAGGCTCTCCCTTGTGGGGTGCACTGTAGGTGTCCCACACCACTGTTGGTAGTGTGGGGCAGGGTGGAGCAGGAGCTGTCCCCTCACATGGACAACTGTCCCCTCACTTGTCCTTGACATCTGGTGACATTGGAGCTGCCACCAGGGTCTTCTGAGCTCACAGAGTCAACCAGAGGTAGGTGTTGGGGCACAGGGCACAGCCAGAGCAGTGCATTGCCATCTCTGGATGTTGTGACACCTTGGGACCGTGTCACCCTCTGAATCTCTGGAGCAGAGGTGGTGCTGAGGTTTGGTTCAGAGAGCCAAGCTCATCCATCTGGAAATCTTGGCATTGTGCTGTGGTGGTGACAAGCTGGTGCCAGTAACTGGAAGGAGGTGCTTTCTGCTGGGCAGGAAAAAGAGTCAGAGGAAGGAGGGGTGAAATTCCCTGCCTGCGTGGTGTGCAAGGGTGGAAGGTCAGAGCAGGGTTGGGCTCTGTGGGCACAGGGCAGCATTGGGGTGCCTGGTGAAAGAGTGGGGAGCAGCCTTGGGGTGCTGGTGGGTGTGGGGGGCTGTGTTGGTGTCTTGTCTTGTGTTTGTACTCTGTGAAACGGCTGCGTGGGAATAAAAAGTGTTGTAATCCTTCGTAAGCACCGGGTCCTGTGTGATGGGGACGAGGACGGCGAGCAGCAGCAGGGACACCAAGGCTGCAGAGAGTCCCTGGGAGGGGTGGACAGGGAGTTTTGGGGTGCCAGGCAGGGGCACACCAGAGCTGAGGTTGTGGCTGGAGTGTGGGTCTGGCAGGTTTGCCGTGGGTGGGCTGGGATGTAGGGCAGAAGGAGCAGAGAAGATTTGGGTTCTGGGGCAGGAGGACAGCTGGTTCTTTGCCTCAAGACAAGATGTCAGGCAACATGATGTCATGGACTCTGCTCTGCTTGTTCCCTGCCTCTCAGCTCTCTCTCTGTGCCCCCGTGCCCCCTGTGTGTGTGTTAGCTCTGAATTCTCTCCTTCACCCCTCTTTGCTCCCTGTGGCTGCCTCTCTGCTGCCTCGTTCCCCCATCTCTGCTCCTCCTCGCTCTCCTGTCTGTCTCTGCTCTCTCTGTCCTCACTCTGCGCCCTCTCTGTGCTTCTCTGCCACCTCTGCTGTCCCTGCTGTGCTCCCTCCCCGTGCCACGCTCAGCTGGCTCCCGGGTCTCTTTCGTGCCTCTTTGCCCTCTCTCCCCACATTTGCTCTCTGCGCCCTCTGCACCTCCCTCTTTGCTCTCCAGCTCTCCCATCTCCTTCCCCAGCCTCTCCTTGCCCCGGGCCATGTCTCACGCTCATCCCAGCGTTAATTAACGAGCTGCTGAAGGACGGCAGCAGAGCGGCTGTGCTGCACCCGAGGGAGCTCTGCGGGTGCTGGGGGTGCGGGGGACACCCCGAGGATGGGGAGGACCCCCGGGGCACTGGAGGGTGAGCAGGGAAGGAGCCCGGAGCGGGCAGAATTCCCAAAAATTCCGGGGGGACCGCGGAGCTCCGCACGCCCCGCCCCGGCCACGCCCAGTCTCAGGCCACGCCCCGCCTCAGGCCACGCCCCGCCCCTCCTCAGGCCACGCCCCGGTCACGCCCCAGTCACGCCCCAGTCACGCCCCTGACACGCCCACCCCATGACCCCGCCTCTTTCTGCGCACTGACGTCACCGCCCGAGGTGGCGCGAGCTCTTCCGCCGGTGACGTCACGTGGCGCTACCGCGCGGCCCCGCCCCCGCCCCGCCCCGCCCCGCGCCGCTCCGGGACCCCGGGCAGGTAACGGGATGGGGGCGGTACCGGGAAATGGGGTATGGGGTACAGGGGTACCGGGTACCGGGAAACCGGGTACTGGGTACCGGGGTCATCGGGGGTACCGGGAAACCGGGTACCGGGGTCATCGGGGTACCGGGAAACCGGGTACTGGGTACCGGGATCATCGGGGGTACCGGGAAACCGGGTACCGGGGTCATCGGGGTACCGGGAAACCGGGTACCGGGATCATCGGAGTACCGGGAAACCGGGTACTGGGTACCGGGATCATCAGGGTACCGGGAAACCGGGTAGGGGTACCAGGGTACCGGGAAACGGGGTACGGGGGTACCGGGAAACCGGGTACAGGGATCATCGGGGTACCGGGGCATCGGGGTACCGGGAAACCGGGTACGGGGTACAGAGGTACGGGGTACCGGGGTTACCAGGTACGAGGTACCGGGGTGCAGGGGTATCGGGCTACCGGGTACCAGGCATCGGTGTACCGGAGTACAGGAGTGCAGGGTACCGGGGTATGAGGTACCGGGGTACAGGAGTACCGGGCACCGGGGTGCAGGGGGCACCGGGGTGCAGGGGTCACCGGGGTACTGGCGTACAGGGTACGGAGTACCGGGGTACGGGGTACCGGGGTCACTGGGGTAACAGGGTACGGGGTACCGGGGTCACTGGGGTGCGGGTTACCGGGTGTCAGGGTCACCGGGGTGCGGGGTACGGGTACTGGGTACCGGGGTGCCGGGATACCGGGTACCGGTGTGTGGGGTACCGGGGTACAGGGGTACCGGGGCACTGGGTACCGGGGTACCGGGGTGCGGAGGTACCGGGGAGCCGGGGTACCGGGACACAGGGTGCCAGGGTACTGGGTACCGGGGTCCCTGGGGACACTGGGGTGCAGGGTACCGGGTACCGGGGGTCACCAGAGGGGGACACCGCTGGCAGGGCCCCCGCAGGCCGCTGCACCCCCCGCCAGCGCCGCCCTCCCCGTTCCCATCACTGCACTTCTTGTGTCCCCACCGCTGGCTGTGCTACCTGCGGCTCCCGGACACGGGGACCCCCCCTTGGCACCCACCCTGCCCGGGGAACTGCCCTGCAGGGCATGGAGCGGAGCCCGGCACCCCATGTGCCACCCCAGAAGGGGTTTTGCACCCCAGAGCCACCTCCTGCTGTCACCCGTGCTGCTGCCACCCACATCCCTCTGTCCCCTGCCACCCACATCCCTCTGTCCCCTGCCACCCACATCCCACTGTCCCCTGCCACCCACATCCTTCTGTTCCCTGCCACCCAAAGCCCACTGTCCCTTGCTACCCACATCCTGCTGTCCCCTGCCATCCTCAGCCTGCTGTCCCCTGCCACCCACATCCCTCTGTCCCCTGCTACCCTCAGCCCACTGTCACCCATCCCCCTGTCACCCTCAGCCCGCTGTCCCCTGCCACCCACATCCCTCTGTCCCCTGCCACCCACATCCCTTTGTCCCCTACCACCCTCATCCTGCTGTTCCCTGCCACCCAAAGCCCAATGTCCCCTGCTACCCAAAGCCCACTGTCACCCATGCTGCTGCCACCCACATCCCCCGTCCCCTGCCACCCACATCCCTTTGTCCCCTGCCACCGACATTCCACTGTCCCTGCCGTAAGTGCCCCCTCCCACAGGAAGCGGGCACAGAATTAGGTGAGTCCCCCACTTGTGCATCCTCCACGCTTTACGCCCACAGCCTGCGCGTCCCAGATCTGCTTCCCGGTGCCAGCTGAGGCGATCCAGCCAGACGGACAGCATGCCAGCGCTGCCAACCCCTGCCCACAGCCTGGCGGGATCCCGGGTTCCGGTGGCCCTGTGGCACTGGGACATCTTGGAGCGGTCGCAGCAACTCTTTCTCCTGCAGGAGCCACCATGGACCTGGTGCTGGAGGCTGCGGACCGGCACCTGCTGACGCCCTACGTGTACCCAGCGGGGTGGCCCGAGGGCGAGCCCTGCCGCCAGCTCCTCAGCCTGTTTGTCATCACCAACCTGGGCGCCCTCACCCTCTACCTGCTCTTCGGCACCCTCAGCTACTACTTCATCTTCGACCACGAGCTCAAGAAACATCCCCAGTTCCTGGAGGTGGGTGCACCCCGCTGACTCCTCACCCAGGCCCTGCCTGGCACTGTCCCCCTCTGGCGTTCCCCCCCTCACACAGCCCCCTGAATATCAGCTAGCCCAGAGGTCCGAGGCTGTGAGGGGAGGAATATCAGGAGATGGCAAAGATTCCCAAAAGAGACTCTTACCTTGAAATACATTGGTTCAGCTCTTTATTCTGTGGTGTCCAAGGGGAGAGCGGGGCAAAAGAGGATGAACAGGAAATGTCAGGGGTCTGTACAGACTTTGGACAGGGTGGGCTTCCCTGGCTCTCTGCCAACCCCGTTGGGGCAGGAAGGAGGGTCCAGGGTTATCAGATCAGAGCCACAGGGTCCCGGGGAAGGGGCACAGAGTGCCCAGGAGCTCACTGTAACACCCCTCGCCATCCCCTTGTCCATTCCAAATGTCCCCTGCCAGTGTGGCATGGGCTGTCCCTGCTGTCACACCCACCCCTCTCCGCCTGCTGTTGCCCTCCATCATCCCTGACCGAAGGAATTGTCACAGCCCACAAACCCCAACCCCAGCGCGAGCCCTGCCCCAGGCACGGCCGCCCCACA